TTCCGAAGCAGTGATGGAAGCAGGCAGCTTTCCAAAACGCATATGAAAATGCATCCAGCTCGTATTTCAGGATCAGACAAACAAGCACAAAATTGATTGGTGAAATCTGATCCATGGCTTTTGTTTGTTTGTTTTCCATATTCTATTAAGTGGAAGACAATGCAGATATACTTTGATTTTTTGCCTGGAGTGCTCAGGTTCCTTTGCTTTGAATCCTTGATTGGATTTTTTTTCCAGAGCTCAGAGCTTCAGTGGTTTGGGGTGGGTTACCTCTTGGTTCCCATGGTTTGAGAAGGTGAAGAATGGTGGAAACAAGATTTCCTCTGCTTTTCTGTCTGTGCATCAGCATAAAAATGGGAAGAGGAAGAAGACCTGGCTGCTGACAGTGTGTCCTGCTCCCCATGGCAGCTCCGGACAGTGCCAGCACTCAGAGGCAGAGTCATTCCCTGTGAGGAGGGATGGCTGCGGCAATTACGTGGCGCTTGGCAATTTAGGAGCCTCTGATAGCCAGAAGAGGTTGTTATCTTGAGAACTGAAGGCCAGATGTGAGCTTGGCCATCTTATTTCAGGTGGTGACTTGTTTAATTGCAAAGGTCGGTGCACGTTCGCATTGCCTCTGGTGGTGGGGCGGCAAGTGTGCTTGGGGGGTCAGCACTGTCACTCGTCGCACTCAGGTGGCCTTGCTTTGCCTCTCTTCAAGTCTTTGTGTTTACTGTCCAAAAATATTGGGCAGACAGGACTGTGAGGAAGAAACCTGGCGGCTGATGTGCAGAAAAATGACATAATTCATTCATTCATTATTTACGGCAAATAGTTATAAGCTAGTTTTAAATGGGAGGAGGTTTGGGTGATTAAATCAGGAAGAATGGTCTATCCAGCCACTTGATGCTGCAGGTACATCCTGGGTGAATCGCAGGTCCCTCCGAGCAGTACTCAAAATCATTTTGGACGTGGTTTTACAGCTCATCCTTACTGCAACGCATCAGTCAATTGACTTTGAGGGTAGGGAGGGGAGGATTTCCGACGCTGGGAAGGGGTTGGGTAGAAGTCCAAGCATCGTGTTGTATTTCAAGTTTAGTGTTTTGGTCCGATATTTGATCCGAACTATAACAGCACCCTCCAGTCACATGGACGGGCTGGGAAGCCTGTTTAAGTTACTGTGTTACACTTCTCGCTGTGTTTGTGTTTTCATGTCTTAGCTGAAAGGTGGCTCCATAAAGATTTCTGTTGGGCCTTGAATGTGAGATTCTTTAAGCTACTTGAAAAATACTGTCTGCCTATTTAGTGACTTCTGCTACATGTTGGATTCAGCCTTTGGCTCTTGTAATATCCAGAGGATACTGAACATCTTGCTTTTAAGGATGCTTTTGGAAGTGGGAAAACAAATGTGTCCTGTACAAAACCCCCTGGATTTAGAGAAAATCTTAACCTACAAGCTGCATTTTTCTTCAGAGCGATTGCAGCATGGAAAAGCTGTTCCGTTTTAACAGTGGAGAGTTACTCTGTCCCACTGACTGTGTGCAGGGGTGGACTTGAAATCAGCCACCGCGTTTTGAACCTTGTTCTTGTTTGAGAGCTGCTTCAGATCCTGGAGTTATGCCCGTGTAGCTGAGTTTTCCCAGGGCACTGTGTGAATGCTAAGCTGTGTTGTAATGAATTCCGAGTGGGCAGCAGCATAAGCCTGCTCTCATTTTCCCTGGAAGACGCTGCTGCATTGTCTTGTCTGTATCCTGAAAGCCTCAGTGTTGTTTGTCAAAGGCTTGATTCTGCAAGCGCCACGTATGCAAAGAAGCCCGTGAATAGGAAGGGCTTGCCGTGCGGGTTCTCAGCTCCTCACATAATGCCCCAAGCCGGGACAACGGGCAGCAGACAGGAGCAAAGCAGTTTTTGTTAAACTCTTGGTATTCCTTGGGCATCTGCTCTCCCACACGTGAGATGTTTAATATCGTCTGGTTATGTCCTGATAAGGTGGAGGAGTCGCCTTCTGCCAGGCATGTACGTGTGCTGAGAGAGGCCACTGTTTCCACACCATAAATAGGGGGAATGGGCAAAGGCTGGCAGAAGTTAGGTCACTTACTCGTGGTCACCCACGTGCTGGTGGCAGGTTTGGAAGCTGTCTGCGTGTCCCGACCCTCAGACCTGTACCTGGGCCCTGAACACCTTGTTCACAGGCTGTGTGTGTGCGCTGTTGTCTCTCATCTTCCTGTGAGGGAAGACAAGGGATGTAGCTATGCAAAGACTGGGATACGGATGTTGGAACTGGCATTAATACCTGATGCAGGTGTTTGTGCAGTTCAGTTAGCAGATCAGAAACCCGTGCTGATTGCGTTAGGCGTGGGGGTAGACGTGGGAAATCATGGACTGTCCCTGGTTTGACCAAGGTGGGACTTGGAAAAGGTCATCGTGTTCCTGCAGGGTGGGTTTGGGAAGCAGTAGTTTCTGAGGGGCGTGGAGTATCACAGGGATGAATCTCCTCCCTCTGGTACCTAAAAGGAAAGGGTCTTTTGCCAACAGAGTGGTAGTGGTCGGGGTGAAAAGCTGCTGAATCAGCAGTTGGTGACGGCAGGGACTTGTGAGTCCCAGACAGCCCTTCCTGCTTCTGGCACAGACTGACTGTTTGCAGGGCTTCCTGGGATGAGTCTTTCCAAGGGCGCGCCCTGTGTGAACAGACAGGAAGGAGCCTTGGGCCCAGGCGTACCTCATCTCCCCTACTTCTAGGAAATGATGTCAGATGCTTCCTTGCACGAACTTTACTCCAAATGCATCTTCACTCTTGCTGACGGGTGGCTTACTGGCTGTTTACCCTCTGAGATCAGCTCCTCTGGAGCTGTGGGACTCGACCCTGTTCTGTCCTGTGCCCCATTTATTTTGGGGAAAATGTGCTTTTTGCCAATCTAAACTCTCCGAGTGCCTCGGTTTAGAGCCGAGTGCCTTCGGCGGGAGGTCAGAAAGCTTTTACTGAAGCAGTCTCGGGGAGATCAGTGCAGGACGGGTGTTAGGGACGGCACACAGCGGTAACTGGGCCAAGCTGTTCGCTTCTTCTGGCAACCTGAATTGCGATTCAGGAGCTGCTTGACGTGTGCCTCAGCCACAGCGGGTGTCCACTGGCCTTAACGCACCCGGCTGTGAAACCACCGTCTGGGAGGTGGGTCACGGGCTCTGTCTCCACTGTAAACATTCTTTTGCACAGGACCTGTGATTTGTCCATACGATGCGACGGAGCAGCCTGGGTAACAGGTGCAACAGCGAAGCAAGTGTATCCACAGAAGCTGTGATCTGAAGAGGTACGGCGGGACTGAAAATACACCTGCTGGGGGAATTACAACGGCTCCACATGCATGTCTCCTTCTCTCAGTGCCGGAAAGGAAACCCCATCAGTTCCCTTGAGCAGCTTGGAGACCTCATTCATGACAAACTTGATTCTACAATAAAGCTGTAAAGTGAAATAAACGCAGTTCGAGAGTTGGGGTGTTTTTGAGGTGCTGAGCACCCTCTGGATAAATTTGGTCTCATGCCCTGGGGTTGTAGCAGCCGCAGTCTCAGCTGGAGAACAAATGTGGCAGTTCTGCCTCACTTTATTTGTGAGCGAAGTGCCAGTCTCTGAAATGACCCTGTCTGCCCTCTGATGAAAGCATGGGATTGTTCTGTCCCACTTTTAGGTGTCTCGAGTGTGGGTCACTGAGATGCAGGCCATATTAGCGTGACAGTTTCAGGCCCGAAGGGACAGTGTTGGCTATTGATGCCTGTTAGCGTGTGAAAGTCAGGACTTACAGGTCAGCTATTACTGACTGATGAGCTCGATGTTTAAAGCCTCTGCTTTAAACAGAGAAGAGGTTGGTTTCAGCTTATTCTTTCCTGGGTGTTAAAAACAGAATTTGAATCTTGGCTTTTGAGGAGGAAAAAAAAATGCCTGTGAGTAAGGGAGTCTGGGCCTTCCTTGGAGAGAGCTCAGACATGGTACATGTTGCGATGTGTCTCCTGGCTGTGTCCGGGAGCCGTGTCTGTCTGAACAGTGCTTTTGCTCCTGCTGTGTATGGCAGGACCGCTTTAAACCTCTTCATCTTAGTCAGCTTCTGGCCTGCTGTGTGGTGAGGCCTCGTGTGTCCTGTGTCCCCTGGACTGTGTATTGCTCCCTTACCGAGCAGCAGTATAAAAAGTGCATGTTGTGTTGCATTTCTTACCTGGCTTATAGCCAAGCAGCCATGCAGATGGCATCCAGTGATCCAAGCAGCTGAAGGAAGGAGGTCCTCATCCAGAGAGTGTGGTCCCCCCGCCTTGGCGTGGGAAGCTGGTCCCCTGAACACCTCCAGACGGGAAGCACTGCAGTGGGACATGAGCATGTAATTCTGTGAGAGAGGCTGATCTTTCTTGTGTCTGTTTGAGAGGACAGAGCGAGCAGAACTATGTGGGTAACTGTTACCTGCGTGTTTTACATGAAATCAGGAACTAGCTAGGAGTCAAGGTAGGATAAAAATACTGAATTTTAATCGCGGCAGCGCAGCGTGTTAGCGGTTGACCCCAGGGCGTTCAGCCTCATTCCTTATGTGCCTTTGCAGCTCTAACAGGAGTTGTAGCGTGTGTCGCTGTGTTGGTGACAGGAGGCAAAATCTCTTTAGGAACGTTTTATGAAGGAAAGTGGAGACTGTGATAGCTGTAAATGCTAATATCCTTACTAACTGCGGTCCTAGTGGGCTTGTGGCATTAGTTGCTGTTTCACTGGCAGGTATGAAATACAGCCAAAATTCTGTTCTCTTTTCAAGCTAATGCACAAGTGTTTCCAGAAGCTGGATAAAATTACGTTGCTTGTTGCAGCAGGTCTCAGTGCTGAATGATGCTTGTTAGGGTTCGTTAACATCCCCTTTGCAGGTGCCAGGTCTGGATGCTGCTGTCAGAAAGGCTGTGGCGATGAAACCCAGGACTTAGGAGCAGTTTTGGGGGCAGTCTGCCTGTCTATTTATCCTGACTGTATTCTTGTTTGTATCATGCAGGTTGTGTTGATCATGGACAGTGAAGAAATCCCAACTTTTTCAAGTCCAAAGGAAGAAACTGCGTATTGGAAAGAGCTTTCCTTGAAGTACAAACAAAGGTACTGTTGTAGACTTGCAGGCTGGATTTGGTTCTTAATGACCAGAACATTGTTTAATCTGTTTCTGTGCAAGGCCACACCGAGATGGGTATTGAATATTTTAGAAAAAGAACTGCATTTCCAGCTTTAAATCAAGCTTTAAAATTTCCAGTTTTGTGGGAGCTGAGTGTTTCTTGCATAGTGTTACCATGGCATGAACTCCAGGCTATGTTTCGAGCATGTTTGAGCAAGAGCAGGGCCATTTTATGATCGTGTGCATCTTAGTATAATTGAAGTGCTGCATTAAGTAGTATTTTGATCTTCTATCATAAGAAGGCACCTTTGGGCTTGCCTTGTATCATGACTGTTCCCACAAGCTTCTTGTAGTTGAATTACTGGTATGAAAGTGTCTGATTTGGTGTCTGCTGCAGTTTATTGAAGTGTATGGTACCTCATAGTCCAGCCTGTACCAGTGGTTTGCATCTTTTAGGGGACGCAGGGCTTTTTGGTTACCAAAAATGACAAGACAGGTTGTCTTGAGTAATGCTGTGCTTCTTGTGGGGGTGAGATCTGTTTTTGGGCTGTTTTTTGAGTGAAGAGTATTGGAGGCTCCTAGTTTATTTTCTTTGGAAAACTTTCTTTTCATTCAGTGTGACTCTTGAAATTGAGATAAACCCCTGACAAGCCCAAAGAGCCCAAGGTACAAGTTGCTTTTTTGTTTGGTTTTAGTTTTTTGGGGAGAGATGTTGGGCATATAGAGATGCCTAAGCTGTTCTTGGGTGTCAAAATTCTGTCCTAGACACCAATGGATATGTTGTTTCCTAAAGCCTTGTTAGTTTTCTCAGCTGCTTGCTAAGAGCCAAGCTGTTAGGTATGGTAAAGAGGCAAATTTAATCAGCAAAGTGTGTGGGGTGGCTACTTCTGGTATTTAATAACTTGCAGTGGTTTTTTCCCAGAGAGGGTGGGGAGCACTGGGACAGGTTGCCCAGAGAAGCTGTGGATGCCCCATCCCTGGAAGTGTCCAAAGCCCAGGCTTTGGGCAACCTGGTCTAGTGGAAGGTGTCCCTGCCCATGGCAGGGGGGTTGGAACGAGAGGATCTTTAAGGTCCCTTCCAACCCAAACTATTCTATGATTCTGTGAAGGTAGGTATGTGCTTGCTTCCTGCCAAAGCTCTCGGTAACCCTAGGATTCAAACCTTCACACTTTTCAAGAATCTTAAATTTCCAGGTGGTGCAGAGATCCAGAAATTGTTCTTTTTTACAGTTTTTGACCAAAATAAGGTGAAATGTTTGCTTAATTCATTGACTCTATCAAGTCTGCTCGCAGTGAAAACTACTGGAGTGCAAAGTGGTTTTCAGTTTCCCATGAATCCTGTAAATAGCTTTGATATGGGTTTGTATTTACACATGAATTTAATGTAGCTGTTTGTTTCGATGTAAGAGAGTTAATTTCCTTTTATAGCTAAACTTAATGATGGAATTTCTCTATTTCTCCAACTATTTTTCCCATTAGAGGTCTATGGATGACACCTAAGTACTCAAAACTCCTGATCTTTCAACACATTACTTTAGAAGAGCTGTGGATTTTGGTTTAGCTTGGGAGATGCTAAATTTTCAACTAATGAAAACCTCTCCTTCCAGCTTCCAGGAAGCTCGTGAAGAGCTGGCTGAATTTCAAGAGGGAAGCAGAGAATTAGAAGCTGAGTTGGAGGCACAGCTAGTGCAAGCTGAGCAGAGGAATAGAGATTTGCAAGCAGATAACCAAAGACTGAAGTATGAAGTGGAAACGTTAAAGGTGGGTCTTGTCTGTAATAGCATTGTCTCTTCACACAGATATGTCTTGGATCTCATTTTAGATTGTCTGGTGTGTTCTTAGTCACTGAATATCCAAATGAAGGAAAGGGATTGTCTGTTTAGGATCCAGGCTTGAGTATGGTATGTACTCCAGATAAGGCTAGTAACCTACCAGGGACGTTTCTGGCCAAACTTCTCTTGTTCGCATCATGAAACGTGACACGTGACACTCATGTCACGGAGTCTGTGCTTTTTTGTTTGAATTCTCCAAGCATTGCCAAGTAGCTGCTTTACTAGTTACGTAGGCAGCATCAGCGTAGCAACAGAGTGGATGACACAAGTATGTTTTGTCAGACCACTGCGTTGTCATCTTTCTTTGCAAATTAGTGTTTTTGCGCAGAACGTCTCCTTGGTTTTATGAGATCTTGAAGGAAACTGAAGGTGGGTGATTTGTGTACGTCTTCCAGAGAGATCTCCTCATTCTTAACAGCCGTATCTGTGGGGTCAGGAATTGTTGCATAAGGATCTGCATGTGCAGAAGGTGATTTAATTGATGCTTCTAGGTTAACAAGTTCTTGGCTGTCTTGGAAAAGCATCATTTTTGGTAGTCTTGGGTCATTTTAGTGAAGACAAAGGTTGGAAACTTAGCAAGTGGAAATAAAATTTATGGAATTATTTGTTCACATATGCAGTCCCAGCTATAGCTGCAAGGTCAGGACATGCTTTATAAGGTCAGTAGTTTTTCCATAAGCCCCTACTGTACCCTCAGAGCTGGTGAGAGTGTGTTTGGGAATCCATTCTCCCAGTCTTTCCAAGGTGAGCTTGTGGGCCTGGATGTTTTGTAACAGCCTTCAGCGGCTCTCATTTTTGCTAATGGAGATGTCAAACAAGTTCTTGTAACAGAGTGGCTATTGTCAAGGGAGAGGCACTGAAGGGGAGGCTGTGCAGTTGGATTTCTGTCTGGCTTCCTGGATGTTTGAGGCTTCAGAGCAGCTGTCAGCGCAGGCTGTTGGGAACAGATGCAGGGATGCAACTCTGAGCCGCCAGCTGTGTCGTGGCGAGATGTCACCGCACAATGCGGCGTTTGTGATTCTGTACTGTGTCCAGTTCTGGTGGTCAGAGCGTGTTCCTTCTACCTCCCCAGTTTTTGTTCTGTATTACCAGCATTCCCCCATCAGCAGACTGCAGTGAGTATGTTACTGTCTTTGTCCCCTTTTACTGCTGATGACTTAGAGAGTGCTTGTGACTGATCCTTATCTTGCTACTTCTTTCTTTCAGGAGAAACTGGAGCACCAGTATGCACAAAGTTACAAGCAAGTGTCATTGTTAGAGGATGACCTCAGCCAGACGAGGGCTATTAAGGATCAGCTGCACAAGTATGTGAGGGAGCTGGAGCAGGCCAACGATGACTTGGAACGTGCAAAGAGGTGAAGGCTAGAAAATCTCTTCTTTCCTCTAAGTTATCACAAGCTCTTTTCTTTGAGACTCTGATCACTTTATTATTCCTTAAAAGAGGAAGTAACATACATTCAGAAAAACCACGCAAACCCCAAGACACTCGATTGTTTGAACAGTGCAGGTTTACCCTTGGAGTTCACCTGCATCAGCTGGTAGCGTTACGTTACAGCAAGAAAGGCAAAGGAACTGTGCTGGGTTCAGCCAGG